TGGTGGTGGTGGTGGTGGTGGTGGTGGTAGTAGTTAGTAGTAGTAGCAGCGGTGGTAGTAGTATTTGAATTTGATAGAACAGTGAAAAACATTACTTATATTTAGAAGCTGGATATGGAAGTAAAGAGCGGTAGGTAGACGGATTTATTAAATTATGTGCGTTTTTACTTAATCAGTTTCAGGTTCGCATAAAAAGAGCACGGTTGTCAATACTGAAGGTAACGACAGGCATTGTTTTGTTTTCCGTCGTAATAGACCTTGGAGTTGTTAAATCTAATCGGTACACTCTTATTTCTTTGTAATAAAGCAACTGGTGCTGAGGGAAAAAGATATTTTTCCGACAGAATCAATGGGCCCTTTAGATCAAGTACCTGGGGAATTCAAGAACCACTAGGTACAGTATAAGAGTGTTCACTCATTAGTTTATAAATCTACTGGTAACATTTGCCTGATTAAATTAAGATTTGAAACCTTATAGAATTCAGCGTTCAATTAGAAACATAGTAAGAAGGCTTTTTCTCCGTAAAAAGGAGATGACAGCTGATGATTTAAAGTAATTTAACCTTTATCAAGGCCTTTTGTAGGTGGTGACGGCGCTTGTGGTGCATCGTAAACAATATTTTTAAAATAAATTCTTGATTAGTGTAGTTAGTGTCCTTGAATTCACTTATCAGCTTGATAAATATATTTTTTTTATATATGTGACTTATCAAACGCCGTATTTGATCATTTTTCCAACACAAGGAAACCAGGAATTGTCTCCAGATTTAGAAACGAGGACAATAGCAAGGCAAAGTCTTCTTCAAAATGATGATGGTAAGTTGGTAACATTTTAAATCATCGTGGGATGAGTATCAGTTGATTGAGTTGCCGTCTTGTAATATAAAACCTTTTTTCTCCTGCTTGTAGAGGGTCTTCAATATCACGGAATGAGTGGACAATACCTTCGTCCTCAAACAGTTGATAGGCACCGAATTATGGAAAATAGTGCACCTTTTTTCAAAAGACCGAGAAAAACGCAGGAAATGTGTAAGTAGCTTGAACCCTTCCGACTTTGTCCATATGGTAGAAAAGATAAGTTTCTTTGGTCAGGTTCAGCACTAGCTGAATAATGCAGTAAACAATCAACCATGGTTAAATCTCTTTTAAAATTATGCAGCAAATGCACATTCTAACAGCGGACGAATATCATCTTGAAGGGTATAGCTCCCTGCCGTGACGTCTGAAACAACCTTTTTTTAAAAAATATATGAGAAGATTTCCGTTTAGCCCCATACTATTCTTAAACAAAGCCTTTTTCTCCCATGCAATCCATTGTTTCTCGTATTTAAGAACTGTAACCATAACAAAGTATTGGGTTACGCGAATTCTTGCCCAAGATGTTGTCTCCAACGAGATATAGTAGTATTAGAACTGAAGAACAAATTTACTCTCGCGTGGAATGACAGCTTTTGAAGCCGGCAAATAAATGCACCTTCAGCTTACGGTTTGGGTTGTCCCTTTTTTGTTCTTTTTCCATAAGCATTTATTTCAGCTCAATCAAATTTATATAGTTGTAGTATTGCAATACCAGAGATAATTTTGTTAGTAACGCATATTCTGCTTTCAGTCTATAGAAGTTTAAGAATTCCAGGATTAAAGAAAGTTAGAAGAGATATTAAACAAAAAAGCAGTGGTAAGTTAAAAAAATTATCATTAAACAAGCAAAGGTAAGATGTTTGTCTAAGTTTATCTGGATTTTTTCATCGACAACAATACCCTAATGTACTACATTAATGTCCTAATGTCCTCTTGAGCAATATTCTTTTTTCCTTCTTTACTCCTTCAGAAACAAGCAACCTGAAAAATACTAGTTATGTAACGAAAGGTAAGGAAAAGGCTTTTAACATCATATAATGCCTTAACCACTTTATACAGGAGTACCCAGTGTTGCCGTAGTCTCAAGAGATAGCTTACTAAGTTAAGAGGTTGCTGGATAAAAATTAGGAACGAAAGAACGATAAATTTTAAAAACTTGGATCATTGATAACAATAGACTGATTTTAATATTTTTCCATTTTCAGACAAAAACATGAAAAAATCAGGATTACCCAAAGGTACTAAACTTGGTTATCTATGGTTATCAATGTTAAGTAAAACTGAAGCACGGTTATTGAATTTCTAGCCATCTGATTGGCAGAATGGTGCCATGTTATGAGCTTGTAACTTGGCTCCAAGCTCATAACCTAACTCTGACTAGTACGGTTAATAAATTCGTCAGCGAATTGAGGAAAAATCTGTGAAAGCGAGCTGTGACGCGATGGCGAAAAAAATATTGCGATTAACATTTGCTGCAAGCGAAAGTTTGTTGTTTTACTTTTGTCTCCTGGTCGTTGTCAAACCAAATATAAGCTAGTTGGTACAATAATTTCTTGTGCACAAAAACAATTATTCAACCAAGGTTTGCCAAATATGAGGATGTTATAGCCAAATCGGCGCTTTACACCGCGTTGGTTATTTATCATTCAATATTCGGCATGCCCTTGTAAAATAGTTTTTTTTATTATCTGCAGCTAGAAATTATCTAAACAACAACAACAACGAGAAAAATCAAAACAGTAAAAACGAATTATTATTTGAGGAGACAAATGTGAAATGATTTAGAAAGGAATCCAAGGAGACGGGAAAGTCATCCTTTCAGGCATTATCTTTACGATTTAGATGTTTCGTGTTAAATTAATAATTCCATTTAAGCCATGCTTCCTATTATATAATTAAACCCACGCACAATTATAGCTCCTTGTGTCAAACAGAATCGACTAAAACTCCACTCACTCGCTTGTTCCTCAATTTCGAAGATTCGACTAGTTAAAAGTTTCCTTAAAAGGGCTTAGTTCAATCAGCTTTAATTCAGTAAGAAAAAGAGTAAAGTCTCCACCATCCCAATAATTTCACCTATTTTTAATTAATGGCAGGTAACAAAAGGAACACAAGCCGGGCGTCAAGTAACAAAATTAACTCAGAGATAGAGAACCTTTTAACAAAGTTCCTCATTGTCCTGTAATCCACTTCTTGCACTAAAAATGTAATTTTAACTTTTCAAATAATAGTTAAGATGGTTTGTGCTTGTTTTTGAGATTCATAAGGCACAACACTGGAGGGGAATTCTGGTAAATAATCATTAATGCAGAGGATAACATCAATTCCAGAATTTTTTGAAAGATAAAGGATAAGTAAAAACAGTTTAATCCAAAGAGATATTGATATAAGTAACAAAATTAGCAGAAATAAATTTAATTTTCATATAAATGAAAGAAGATCGAAGAAATAAGAATATTATAAAAGAAATACGCATTTCACTTTGTTTAAAACAGTGTTCTTTTCTTTTAATGTTATGCAGGTGAAACGCTTGACGATATAATGACAAAATTGAAGCCAGTGAAAAAGGGCTAAGAATGAATCCCACATTCGATTGTGTTTTGGAACTCATCGTTGGCAGAAGCGTTTGTGGACGAAAGTGGGATTGCCAGATACACAATATCGTCCTTGGTGACTATGTCTGTGAGATGATTGATTTGGAGTGGAGTCTCTGAGTTCCTGGCATGTGCTTCAACATATCCAATCAGTCCTTGTTCTTCGAATAATAGCTAGATCAATGCTTCAATAGGTAGCATTATTGATTCTATTTGTTTTGCCTCGTTTTCTCAACTGTGAAAATGCTGAGGAGTGGCTCCTGTCAATTGACTTCTCTTTCGCAGAGGGGTAGCCTACATGCTACATGTAGAAACAAACACATGATCGTTTTCATGATAACTTTTTGCCACTTAACATTGAACGTTTACTTAAACTTGCTTTTATTCCTGGTTAAAAAGTGTTGTTTAACTTATCTCTACTAAGAAATTAGATGTATTTCTTGAGTTTGTACCGCAGTTATGATGTAAATATGAACGGCTGTTTATTTAGTGTCAAAACAATGGTCAAGAAGACGGTGGTTCTTTTTACAGTGTTAAAGAAAGACGTTCAACTTAATCTATTCGATCTACACGAATACTTTGATTATATTCTTTTATTGCCAGCTAGTTGGAAAACACTTTAAGGTTGACAAGTTAAATACTTCGTAGTAACTATTCAATGCAATGGTTTCAAGAAACTGTAAGGGCAGGTATGGGGAAGGTGGAAACTGGGTTGTTTTTTTATAATAAAGCCGTTGCAGAACAAATAAACGACTAGCTGAAATTTTGGTCACGGAGAGAATCTTGGCAATTTTTTTAACTTTGATTTGCCAGATAGTCTTAAATAAAATGAAGACACGACCTTGTAATGAGGCCAGAGGTTTCCTTAACCCTTTTACTCCAAAGATCTCGTTAGCAATTCTCCTTACGGTCTGCAATACAGTTCTCATGTTGTTAATATGAAGAATTTGGTATTGGATCAGCTAACAATCCCTTGATTGATATATTCCTTTATTCACATTGTTTGTCTACTTGATATTCTATTTATATTGTAAGGACAAAATTTTGCTTGGTCACCCATGGGAATTAAAGGGTTAATTTAACAATACCGCTGCTCTTTTAACGCTCTCGTCAAGCTTGAATTTTAGACACATTGCAACCTGAGATAAATTATAACTTCCAACAGTGGACTAAACACTCCAAACACTCCAGCATTGTATTAACGCGCTTTATTTAAGAAACGATGTTGTAGTTGCGGTTGTTCAAAGCGGTTAAAACTAAAATGCAAACAAAGAAAAGAACGTTGCAAAGTGAACTAAAATGCAACGGAAAGTTGGACCAAAGCGACACTTCCATTTGTTGGGAGCTGGGAAAAGACTGCACTGGAGCGGCGACAAACTGTAACGTGAAATCTGGCTGCCGTAGGGCGAAAAATGATCGCTTGGAAATGGCAAGCGAACAAAAAAAACTGACCCGAAAAGGCTTACACGTCCTTTAGACACTAACGAATATATTGCAATAAATTGCTCGACTAACACGCTAAAATATATTCCGCACGCACGACGAACTAACCTACAAAAATCCCAAAGGGCAAAAACAAAAGACACTAATAAACGGGTGTTTAGTTCTTTACATAAAGTACGACTTGAAATAAAGATTGGTTTATTTTGAATATTTTCGCTTGGTTTGGTTTGTGCGAATAAGTTTAGGTTGTTGGTCCTTTGGTCATATGCATATTTCTTAAAAGCCTGTGCATTAGATACCAGGATGAAACATTGTTTTATAAGATCTCTATATTTCATTTGGAAGAAAATTCCATCTTTTACAAGGATTGACGTACCTCTTTCTCAGGAAATATTTCTTTGACTTAGGACAGAAACTGTTTTACTTAAGTTCTTTTTACTTTTGGAAAAAATTCAATAAAGACACAAGTAGTGTAAATATATAGGAACTTAATTACTTAACCGCTTTATCAAGTATCATTGATCCAAGCGTACTTTTTACGCTCTCATTGTTTCAAGACCGGATATTACAATGTGCGTAAACCCAAACTAGTTCTAGATTTTTTATAAGAATGATGCAAATAAAAATAAATGTAAAACACAAAACAAGCACAAAAACAAAGCAAAACCAAAACAGAAAAGTTGCATGCATGCTCCCCAAGTGCATTTTTGTTTAGTGGGTTAAGGACAAAAAAATCGTATTTCATGCTTACTTTTGCGGGTTCTGACCCAGCTTCATTCTAAAGCGGATAGGATTGTTTCACGTACTCCAGGAAAATAATGATCCATTTACAGGAGGCATAATTTAATGATCTCAGTCTGCATTACTTTAGGATTCAGTTTGCAACATTTATCTAACTTAGAGGATCATGTACCGTCGTTCAAAATTATCGTCCATGTGAGGAAACTACAACGAATAAAGAAAAACACAAAACAAAAAGGAACCTGATGGGGATGCACCAACCCCTTAAAAGAGGAAAACAAATGTATTTTACTGTTTTGAAAATGCAAAAAACGTTTCATAGCTCCTACAATCTTTTTTTCCGAGAAAATCGAAACGCCATCAGAAGAAGGACGTCAAAACTATTGCCCTAAGGTCAAACCACATTAAACGTAGTACTATGGTCAACTTCGTAATTTTTTGAAAGTGTGAACCTTATTAAGTTTTGAAACGTTATTAATACTTTTTTTTTCACTAGTGGTATAGCGTCAAGAGAGAGGCAACCTAACGAAGTGTCTTACTGCTCGAAACACAACTGAACAGTCGACCGAAAATTATCTGTATTAACTGTACAAACGATAGGAAACAACAGTTTATAAAATTGGAAAGTAGCTGCGAGCGAAAGTTACAAAGTTTAGATTTCAAGAAATTATTTACCCCTTAGAGAGAACGAGAGGGATTGAGGAGAGAAAATCAGTGTACGAAAGATTTACAAACACGTCATTTTCAAACAAGGATATTGATATTATTGACCCATCATAGGTGGTACCTGTTTGACAGGAGTTTAAGGCACAACCAATAAGAAAGCTTGCTTGTGGTAAGCCACCATGATGAAACCAACATCGACACGGTCCGCCTTGGAGCATCAACAGATCTTTGGACGAGTTTCTTCTCGTGTGAAATCCTAACATAAAATTAGTTGGAATTCGCTGATTACAATTTTGAAACGGACAACACTTGGTAAGTGATTAGCAGAAGAATTCAAATTTTTGTTTGTCATTGAGAAGGAATCTAAATTGAATCGGTAACTAGATTCTTGTAAATATTGGACTGTCCGAATTTTATAAATGCTGTTATGGCCGTTAATTACACATGGTGTTTTACTATTTTACTTTTATTCATTCAGACCTAATCTCTTGCCTCCATGGGATATTTTGTTTTTTAATCACAAATCGTAGAGGTACGGGAGGAAATAAAAATAACGGCATCCCGGAGACTAAGTCTATAAACAGCGATATGTTCTCCGCCAGTTATTTGCTTAGTACAGGGTAAAACAATTTGAGGAGCTGGTCTGTTTGAAGAGGTTATGCTGATCAAGACTTGATATCTGTATTCTTAAGTACAATCTCGAAATGAATTGTATTTGGTGAATGGTCAAATTGAACTACAGCAACAGGGTTGTTCTAGTTTTGCTTGGTGAGATATACTCTCCGTAGTAAGAATTGTTCATGATGGATAGAAAGACCCCTATTTTTCGCCGATGAGATCCTAATTTCAAAGCTCATTATGGAAATAAGTATATGCGAAACAGCCTGGAGAAGATCGAAATTATGGATCCATATTTAAAGCTCCTGAATGGGTCTATTCCTGTATGTTTGCAGACCTCAGTTCTTACCAGTGACTACTTGATAAGCAAATTACCCGTATGTCTGGTACTGTTGTGTTTATGCAAAGAAAACCATCGTAACACAACATATAAGTAAATGGGGGACTAATAGATCCGTCTGAAACTCGGAAAAACGTCGCTGAAACGATAATAAATTCATAAAGGAAAGCAGACATCGGTGTATGGTTACAGGCAATTTCTTCTAACTTAAGTGCTGTGTGTTAAATTACCAAGGATGTTAAATAATTTATGGAAGTGTTTGCTAGATTTTTTAGCCATTAACTTACCGACAGGACTGATTACTAAGAAGCAGATTCACACACTGGACGGTTACGCAACTCGGGGAAACTATTAAGGGCCTTATCTGGTTACTAAAGTTGGAGATACGATTTTCAAATCAAAATTAACATACTTCATATAATAATAATCGTACGTTTGTCATATTGTTTTTTAAAGATTGGTATCTGTCAAGGACAGATGATTTCATGGGGCAAATTAGTGGCAATGAAAAAAAACAGAAATAAAGATAGAAGACTAAGTTAAGGGTGAGCGAAAAGAGGGTGGGGGGGGGCAACCAAAGAAATAGCTTTTGACCTCAAAGATTAACTTCATTTTCATTTCCAATACTAACAGGTAGGCCAAAATGGGGAGTTTTATACCCATTATCAGCATATTGTGTGGAGCTGTTGCCTTTTGCAAAGGTACGAAGGGAAGAAATGCCAGACAAAATGCAGTCACTGGACGAAGATGAAAATCCAAAATCTCGAGAATTGAGATTTATTTCATTTTAATTCTTTTATAAATTCAATTCAGTAAAGGTTAACTTCAAAATTTCTTAGATCTTTATTAGACTGATGTTGATACACAGCAGAAGATGGTATCATTTCAATTGCATGATTCTGTTATTCCGATTACCGAGCTCCTTTTTGAAAAACTACGTGCTCATAAAAAATCATTTTATTCAGGTTTGGAAATACCCTACGCCGGTCAAAATGGAATGAATGAATTTAAGAAAAGTGGAATAGCGGACCCTGCAAATATCGGTAGGTATTTTGTATATCATTGTGCCTTAAACATGAGGAAATTCGTCGTACGTTCCATGAGAGTAGAAGCTGCATGTAGACGTTTGAACAATTCATGCTCGTCTGACCAAGAAATTAAACGAAAATGGGTCAAGCTTGATAGCAAGTAAGTTCGAATCACGTAAATCACGACAATTGCAACATCCAAATACCCTGAAACACGTTTATTCTTTTTGAAGGTCAGACCATTGGAAATCCACTCCCTTCAGCCTTCTTTGAGGAGCAAATCACTGGAGGAAGGCATCCAAATGACGACAAGAGATACACAATTGGTACCTAAAAATCTTTGATATTGCCATACAATAACTCTTTACTATTACATCTCTTATCTTTACGATATGATATCTTTTGACTTAAACTTTTCCTCAGAACAACTTAACCTAGCGGCGAGACATCGTAATGTTTACTACGATACCGTTGGTGGAGACCCGTATGGTGAGTGAATCACTTTCAATTTAAACTGCTAAATTGAACCAACTATGAGTATTGAGCTAAAAACGGTGAGAAAGTTTCTCAGGTATATTATTTCTTCAAAACTACTAAACGAAATGAAATAAAGTTGCTTTATCATCAATACTGCATTTTTTTTGCACCCATGAAACAGGTCACAGTAGTCCAGTTCTGTCTCGCTCACATATTGCTGTCAATCACAAGAAAAAGAGATCACTCACTCAACCCGAATCAGGTGAATCGGTTTTATACATGTAAATGATTTTAAGCGTATATGATTAAAACTGGGGAGATGAAATTAAGAGACGGGAAAATCTTCGCTCTCAATTTCGTCATTGGGCATAGTTCCTTAAATCGCTTGGCACACTCTTCAGATCAGAGAACTAATCGACATAGTACTAATTTTTTTTTAGAAATTTGAATTCTATTTATTTACCCTTTTAGCTCAAGCTGTTGATGGTAGTCAGCTCCCTTCCGCTTTCTTTGAAGAGCAAATAACCGGAGGAAGACACCCAGCTGATGACAAAAGATACACTATTGGTATGATTGTAGGCCTTTTTCGCTTATATTGCTGTCTGATCTTTGTCACTTGATTTTTGCAGCGAAAGAAAAATCACAAATAGGCGAGAAACGTTTTCAGAAACCCATCTCAGGTTCAGGACGAGTCTTAATGTAAGAATTCGCAAGACGGGGCCTTCTTAATGTATAGGCGTAAATTATTAATATGATATGAAGGGCAAAAGCTTTTCATAACTATAGAGGCGGTATCGAACTTTTTTTAGTTCCTCTGATACATTTTGCGTTTATTTAATGCTGCAGAACAACTAAATCAAGCCGCCAGACATCGCAATGTGTATTTCGACACTGTTGGAGGAGATCCATATGGTAGGTACAATACGAACTTAACTACAGTCTTCATTTGGTGGTAAAAGGCGTACATTTTAGCCCTAAAAACTTTCCAAACAAATGTTGCAAGAATCTAAAAATAGGTGATAAAGGCATTGTTAACCTTACCCTATAGGTACTGCCCTCTAAAATTGATTTTAGATCACTGCCAATTTCAGAGAAGGACTAGAGGTTGCCATTTGTGTGCCATGATATATGCTTAAGTGGATTCTTCGTGGGGTCGTCTATTCATTCTTCATCAGAATAACGAATAGTGTCAGTCAGACGTGTTATCATTTCCCGAGGGGCCACTTCAAGTCAAAAAATAAGTTGCATCATCGAAAAACATCATTTGAAGGGTACCACAATATATCATAAGCATAATTATCGTCTAGAGTTAAATATCACTCGTATTTCTTACCCCTTTTACAAACAGGTCACAGTAGCCCTGTTCTGTCTCGTTCACATATTGCCGTTAATCACAAAAAGAGGAGATCTGTTTCACTAGGAGAATTATCACCAGCACGTGAGTACTTAAGTAATTCAATAATTCAAGGGGAGTATTAAGCAATAAATCTCACTTTCGATTGAGTTGTCATGGTGATACAAATACAGTTAGATTCATGTGAGTTGTGTTTAACGTTTTAGAAAAAGCCAACTAACGATCAAAGCCTTGAGAATGAACATTAGTCCTTATCTTATAGTCCTTCTTTTTTTTATAGCCGGAGCCACCAGTCAATATTATCCAGCGGTTCAATCCAGTCCTTCAAACGTCCCAGAAGCCGTGAAGAGAGATGGCATTGGTAAGGGATTTGTGCAGTTACTGCTTTTAAGTTAACTAGATGTTGGCCTGAACCATTCAGAGGTGATAAAAAACGTATTTATGCCACTCCTGGCTCCCTCTTCCGCTAATTGATGAAATTCACTATTAACATTGGTGTGAATAATGATGATTCTGTCGACAGCAAGGTTAAACTACGCTGCAAGACACCGCAATGTTTATTTTGATTCTGTTGGTGGAGATCCTTACGGTAAGAAAACAAATCTGCATTTATACAAAGTATGTGAGAGCGCTTTTTGATTGGTGTAGTAACAATAAAACCAACCTAACCAGATTGGCCAATCAGAGCAAAGAGAATACGTGAGAATACACTGCCTCGACTGAACCGAACTAAGGGCGACCACACACCAATGGTTATCATTCTTCGTCTGATTGGTTGACGGCAGTGGTAGACCTGATGTTGTGTAAGATCTTATAGGATAACTAGATCCAAAATGAAATTCTAGAGTTCTGTTTGGCTTAACCATCACTTGCTATTTGACTATGATTTAAGCTGGAGGTCCTTTTTTAGGCGATTGATTGCAACATGAACATGACAGTCAGTATATTCGGTTTGAGTAAAACAGTTATCCCGTGATGTGCATAACCAAGTCAAAATTAACGCTCGCTTTTGAAATAATCATCAAATAATCTTTCAGTACTTATTCGGTTGTTACGCGTAGTACACTTATTGCACTCTGCTTTTGTTGAGTGCCTAACGCAACATTGTGGCTATCTCTTTTCTGCAGGCGGAAGCAGCACGGTGCTCACAAGGCAACACATTTTGGTTAACCACAACAAAAGATCAGCGGAAGAGAAGGAGACAAAAACTGGGTAATAAAAAGTTGCCACTTGGTTTTAGATTCTCCTACTTGGAACTCCCCCCTTTTCCTCTATTTATCTTTTTTAAGATTAGGGGGGAAATGAATAGGTTGTAACGTGAATCAATTAAGTACGATAAAGAAACCAGACGGTGTACAACCATAAATACAATAATGAGTGAAATATAATGATATAGAATTGACTAACGTCACATACCAAGAGAATACTACCTCTAACAAGGTTATAAATAAACCTCTAAGATAAAATCCATCATGATACAAGAAATATTTTTTCTCGCGCCCGATTGGACTAAACGTGTCCCGTGACTTAAATCTCCCAGATAAAACTGAAGGATATCCGAGTAATACTCCCCAATTTTTAAACCTAACATCAAACACAGAAAACTCTGCGTTTAAGATTGGTGATGTATGGTTGTCACAACATTGATTTAAGTACATATTTTAATATATTTTGAACTGTCTTGCCTACAGGGAAACATTAAAGAAGAAGCTACGAATCGCTTGATATGAATGAGTTATAATCGTGGCCACAACAAGTGATGTCTGAACTATGTATACATGTACATATCAAATTTCTGACAAAGGGAGATAGAATAAACAACCTTATTTTGTTACTTATGGAGACTGGTTCAAATATATCACAACTTTAATGACCAGGAAATGCATGGGTTAACCAATGTGGCGCAATCGAAAAAGGAAGAACTTAAAATGTTGAAACAATTAAATTTTGTCTATGAGTGAAGCTCATTTATGGGACAGGAAAATTTCCCCTGAATTTTTGATTAGCAGAATCTTCTCGATAAGCAGAATGGAATATATTATAGGGGTTTGGCAGCCATAGACGAGATTCTAATGTAATGAGGGATTTACTGAGATCGTCTTGTACAGGTTATACATTTGCTAACATCTGTTCAGAGAAATACATCATTTCGGAACAGATAATTCATCTTTTACATTCAGAGTATCTTGATAAAGATGAACAGAGTTTTGTTACAGTCTACACGTCCCAAGGAAGCACTTGGTTAAAGTGCTTCATGAATCAGAATTTACCATTGAATGTGTTTCAACTTTAACGGTTGCTACGAAAATAATTTGCTTCATTGATATCTTAACATTCGTAAAATCGTTGAACAGTAAGATTTCGGAATAAACATATATAGAGTTATGCTGTTAGTCGTCAAATTCCTTTGGTGACAATGACTCAAAACATAGAATTATATTACCGAAACGTTTTCGAATTAATTTTTTCTCCCTAGCTCTAATCAGGAAGAGAACTGAAATCGAAAGAAACTTTTTAAGTTTTTCCCATTTTTCTCTCAAGTACTGTATTCCAAAAGCGGGTTAGTAGTGACTATTACTAAATGTTTATTAGCGAAAACCTGAGTTTTTTTCCGCTCTCTGAGCTTATAAATAGCTGGGACTGCATCCAATCAGATCCCGGATTCGCTTTAGAATACTGGAAGAGATATATAAACATATATTATGAGAAATGTTATTTACAATGCTTATTTTCTACGTCTTTGCAAACGTGGCGGTTGCTTTTGAGCATTTAAGATTCCCATTGAAAATACTTGTTCCTGCGTTTGACCTGCGGTAAATCATCCACACTTTTCAGTCACCAGGTTTAAGTAACGGGTACATTTCTTCGTTTCCTACCATTTCTTGGGAAGAATACATCATGCTGACTGAATACTTGATAGTTGCTGAAGGCTGATAGGATGAAAAGAAAGTTTGTGTTTATTTACTATAACAAAAATGCGGACGAAAGGAATTTGAGATGGACACACTGTATGTGCATCACTCTGTATATCACGGATTAAACATGGCAATGGAACTTATATGGCGCCCTAGTACTACTCTAATGCCAATCTATGAGGTGTTGGGGAGAGAAGGATTTTCTTCTGCACGAAAGGAAAAGAATCGATGTGGACATATGGTAATGAATATGTCAGGACGAGGAATGGAAATGCTCGCGAATCCTTAAGTGTGACTGTAAGAACGAGATTATTCGACTCGAGAGAACCACATCAAGGTTATCACTCTTAAACCAAGAGGAACTGTCATATTGTTTGACTGCAAATCGTCCATGGTTATTACTCTAACCCATGCACAAAGCTTATTTGAGAACAAATTTGAGAAGAAAGTTCTCTTACTGTCTCAATTTTGTTTTCTTAAAATACTTACATTGACTGTCTCCGGCGATTCCGTCGAATATTACGTTCCTATGGCGAGCACGTTTATTTTGAGAGGCTGTAGAAACCAAAGAATAAAACAAAAATTCATAGAGGCATTTAGATTGGATTTTTTCACTATTATTTTGTGCTTGCCGCTCTTTTCATTGCAATCCTTTATCAAAAAAAAAAGAACTACTATAGCAAATTTGTCTGAATAATTCTAATAAAATCGACAAACAGTATAAAGTCAAAAGACCTGACGGTTTACCTATCTAAAAAAAGAGACATATATATACTCCATAAAAAACTTTTATCTCCGCCTTACAAAGTATATCGTCGAATATTACGTTCCTATGGCAAGCACGTTTATTTTTAGGGGCTGTAAAAACCCAAAAACATAATAAAAATTCCGAAAAAAAGGTAGATGAAGTTATAGGAGCAAAATTTTCATACCTAAATATTTGTCGCCAAAGCCCAACTCATTCGCCTTATGTTTGCCAGTTGCATGAGCTCCAACAGCCGCAGGAGGTTTTGTCGTGACTAGCACAGAATGAGCCGCAGGGGGAGGCTTTGTCGGTAAGTGCGATGGAGGCGGTTTCGTCTTGACTACCGAAGGCGAATGAAATTGATCCTCAGGAGATAATGGTATCTCGATTATTGGTCCGTCTGTTGGAGCTGGCAGAGGGCTATAACTAGGTTCACCAAAAGATGTGTTAGACATGTCCGTCATATTTCTGAAAGCAGGAAAACTGATGTTCTGGGGCACGACTGACAGCGAAGCATTTGAGGTTTGTTGCATGTTGGTATTGTTTATAGCCGGTGGAGGCACTTGTGGTTTAGAAGTGGGATTGGCAGTGATCTCTGTTGTATTGGCTAGAGCTGGGGGTTTAGAAATAGTGGCATTTAACAGAGATGGTTGATTCATTTGTTTGGATGACGAACTTTTTGCGTTTTTAGAACTTGCTGATTTTGTGGCTTGTGAAGACAGGGGAAAAGAAGGAGAAGGAAGAAACATAATCGTTTCTTTCTCAGGAGGGGTGGCGATGACATATGATGCGTTTTCGTATTCTGAGTTGAGAGTTTCTTGTGAGCTCAGGTTAGAAAGGGAGGTAGGAGTGTTCAAGACTTGAACAGAAGAAGACGTCTGATCTCCAGCTGAAGAATAGGAGGACTCGGCTTCTGATGAAAGAGGAGGAGGAGAAGATGACACGCCGGTGATTTGAGGGGAAGATGCAGATGAAGCTGAAGCTGGAGCTGGAGCTGAAGCTGGTGTCAGTGCTGGAGCTGGAGTCTGACGATAAGCAGGAACTGGAGGTGGAGCTGGTGCTGGAGCAGGTGCAAGGGCTGAGGACTGATTTGTGGAAATATAGGAGCTGGTTGAAGCCAGTGCAGATGTCTGTATGGTCGATGGAGACGAAGAAGATGGAGCTAGTGCTGGGGCTGGAGCCGGAGCCGGAGCCGGAGCCGGAGCTAGGGCTGGGGCTGGGGCTGGGGCTGGGGCTGGAGCTTGAGATGTGGAAGCGTACGAGTTATTTGAAGGCTGTGCAGGTGACTGAACTGTTGATGGTGATGCAGATGGTTGACTGGCTGAGTAGCCATAATAGCTTGGCACAGGATATGGAGCTGGCGCTGGCGCTGGATATGCTGAGGTTGATGGTGTTCCGTAGCCTTGGTAGGTTGCTGGAGAAGGAGCACTTGCAGGGGATGATGTGCTGCCTGTACTGTAGGGAGCAGGAGCCACAGGATAAGATGAATAGTTATAGGCACTATTTGCTGGTGGTGATGCCGGCGCTGATGTGGAAGCAGAGGGATAGTTACTGCTACTAGCTGTAGACTGGGTATTATTGAATGGAATTGAAGAAGGAACAGAATTGTTACCGTTCAGTTTAGAAGTTGACGTGCTATTTATTATTTCATAAGTAACGGGTGAGTCGGGAACCTTGCTATTCGATGGTTCTCTTAAACCGTCCTTACTCGTTTCAGGGCTGACCACATTGTAAACAGGATAATTGTCAGACGTATCAGTTCCATTGATTGAACCAGCTGTTATATTCTGAGCTGGTGTTTTCTGAGTGGTGGCATTGTTATAGCTGCTCACATAATAGATAGGATAACTATCGGTATCATTATTTTGAGAGACGGTTTTTGTTGATTTCTCGAGGATCGAATTGTTATCGCTGATTCCAGGTGTCTGTTGGCTTTCGTCGTTAGGACTCGTGACGTAGTATACTGGATAATTATTTTTATTACGTGCTGATGATGAAGTTATTAGTGTAGATGAGGAAGAAGGCGGATTTGTCGTTGCATTTGATGTAGGTTGTGAAATCGGCCGCTGTATAGTTGGCTCTTGATAGCTTGACACATAGTATACAGGGTAACTGTCGCCAAGGGTTGAATTTGTGGCAACTGGAGCTGCTGAACTGTTTTTGTATGAATTTCCTGATGATTGTGTCACATCTTGCGCAGAAGAGCTGTTTTTAAGATATGAATTTTCAGCAGCTGACAAAGAAGAATAGGAAGTGTGATAGATGTTCTGAACTGGGACAACCCGAGCACCAGTTTGGGTTGCTAGTTGCTGTTGTCCTGTCTGCGTTGTCGGAGTTGAGGCAACCGTCGCTCCGGGACTGCCGTTCAAATCAGCTGAGCTCAAGGTTTCTATTTTAAAAAGCAACTCAAGATAAATCTCGTTATAAAAGTGTTTGTGATAGTCTAAAAGCTTCCTACTAGTTTTTAAGGGTGTCCATAATTCTGAATATGCATCAGTTGTGTGAAGCCTCCGGGTTGAAAATGTGTGAATTTTTTTTAAGATCTACTGTTAAAAGCTGAAATGCTACAAAACAAAAGCAATGTTTAAAATATGTAAGAAGAAGAAGAAAATATAAACCAAAGACATAAGCTGTCTTAACGCATTTCCGACTGTGGTTTTACAAATTTCTAAGGAGGTCGAAATTCCTCCTGATCAAACAAGCAAAAGAAAGGCTGTACTTACGTGAAGATGTGACGCCTGTCTGCTGTGTTGCAACATTCTGGTTGAATGTCTGTTGTGACGTGGTAGACGTGTACTCTGGATAACCTGGATATCCTATGAAAAATAATACGAGAAATAATTTCTTGAAATAAACATAAGAACTACTGGTTTGCTTCTGTTCACAAACGACGATAAATGATAATTTACCAATCGGATGTCACGTTTACTTTCAAATACAACCCAAGATAATTGCTCACCTTGATATGCAACCTGCCTTCTATGAAGTCTTAGTGCAAGCCCTGCGTTAAAGACACGATCTTCATAAGTTTGAAAAACAATGAAAGCAAAGGAAGGTACAATAAAGAAAAACCAAGTTATCGTGAATGTAATATTATCAAATTATTCCACTTAATTACACACATTGAACCAAATGTGAGCAATCTTTACCTCTTCCAATGCGAACGTCAAACGGAGCTGAAATAAAAGAAAACAGAAGATGAAAACATTCTCACATCTTGAAGATTATGACGACTATTAACGAGGATGTGAAACATTGAACAAAGATCTGTATTTAAAATGTGAAATACTGGCGTAAGAACAACAAGACTCGATCGAATAGGACTGTTCACCACAATGCAATGCTCCAATCATCCAAAACTTCACCATGAGTGGTGTGAACACAAAACTGGATCCTGTTGACCTGTTTTAGGTTCCACGCAGACTTATGTGACTCGGAAGGATTTCCGACATCTACGGTTAGCCAATCAATCCGTCAAAAGATCAGTCAATGAATCCATAAATCAATTAGTATTTTTTTTGATGTCAAGAAAAATAAACTATACGTTAACCCCTTTGCAGTGAATATTGGGCTTTATAAACATTCCATGTCATAGATAAAGTAGAATTATTGTTAATTACGACAGCAGGTATATCAGCGATAAACATCTTACCTGAATAAACCGATGGATGAAACCAGGCTATCACAAAAATAAGGAAAAGTAACCTCATCTCTTTCCTTATCTCATTCAAGATAAACCTATTAAGAGAAAAGGTTGACCAATTGATGTTCAAGGATCCTGAATGACTCTTTTTAAATAGATGTTGGTATGCTTTTCTCCTTTTAAATTGTGAAATTTAGATGTTAAATCATTGCGCAAAGGATACATTGTTTGATCTGTAGTTACAAAAACTAAAGCGGATGTGAAAGCCCTAAAAACATTTCAAAACAAAAGATAACTTGAAGATCTAAAGAGGACAAAAATTGACTAATGTGGCCTTGATGGCCGTAACTTTATTGTTGTTTAGAGATAACTTTCTTATTTCTTGAAAATTAATGAAAACCCGGCTAAAAACGAGGACATTTTTGCACGTAGCGAGTCCAGTCTTAAACACTAACTGGTCGTTAATGGGAACAGTGAGAAACCTGTTGTTTGTTATTATGATGGTGCGGGTTAAGTTGTATGTCGTCGTCTGCTTCAGTTCACATTCCGGTTGACTTCTGTCAGAATTAGCAAGTATCCCTAAACTTTCGCTTATTCTTTCATATGTTTTCTACCTATTCATTATACCTACCTACCTATCTATTTACTATTTTATTATTTGCTCAATATCGTTGCATTTGACCTTGATCTTTTTCATTATCGGTGGATAATCTCTTCACTGAGCGCGCCTAATCAGTGGAACTTAAGTAAAATCCCGCTTACTTGTACTAAACGCATTTCAAAAATTCACAGGAAAATCCAAGAACAGAGATATTTAATGAATTTTCCTGGAGTTGTGAACAGTATGTTCTCAACACGCTTGAATTTAAGCTTAAGAGTTTCACACTGTTTATATTTAGCATGTGTCAAAGCTTCTCGTGGTTATCTCTTGTTAGAGTCAGAGAAAGACTATTCAATATCCGCCTCTCAAACGAAGGGAAAAAAATTAAAAAATACATGTATTTTTTCAAAATCAAGAATGAATTTTCACGCCAACAGCGGGCAGAATTCGACTTATCCAATCTGTTGACACCACGTAGATTAAACATTCTGTAAAGTACAAAATGTCGCCGGCTTAAAAAAAGTATTTTTACTGATTTACTGATCGAATGACCCTACGAAATGCGATGCATAACGGAAATGAGATCTAACCGCCTTTATCTTTGATATGGCAATCTGTCGTCAATTAATGTTGTCCGTCGAGGCCTAAAATACAAGATGGGCGGCGACTGCGGTCTTCCTGTTTGAATTCATGAATAATTTCAAATCGCAATACGTTACAATTTTTTTGCAGTCTTAAACCAAGGTTATTAACTTTCCCTCTCGAATTGTTGAAAAGATAGTCAGTTGAAGTTATAAAAACCGATTCATAACGCTGCCGTGTTATAGCTTTGTTCCGTAATTACAATGGTTTTGGTTTCGTGTCAGTGTTTACTATATTCAAGATGATGTTGTAGTTTCAGCCCAGAAGAACAGACTCTGCTTACTTCAACTGAGGTTAAGACTTGTAAATCACATTGAAATCGCAAGTCTAAAAGAACCTTTACCACAAGAAAGCAAACAAGAAATTCCCTACTTACATATAATTTACCAACTGGTGACTTACCTCGGTCAGTCGCACTATTATTCCTTGGAGAGTTCTTTTTTGTGCACAGCTTTTGCCTAAAACCAGTTAATCCACAATGAAAAGGACGATAATAAACATCAAAATACTCCTTGGTGTCCTACAGATTTATAGGGGATTTCAAATCACGTAAAGCTGTGTTCAAATAAAAAAAATGCCGGAAATTTTCAGTAGCTAGCTGCAACAGGTGGCGGCACCAGTTCTTGATCTTTGGTGTCACTCACGGAGCTTGATCAACGCAACTCATAATTAAGGAGGACTGTGATTGGTTAATGGAGGAAAATGACTCGCCAAGAGGCCTTTTAGGTCGTTTTCTACTCGTAGTGACCGTGAAGATATAGCAAACAGCGCTTTCTTTGCTGGCTCAAATGCAAGTAAGACGTAAATTAGATTTTGGCGCGGCTTGAAAGCGAATCTCCAGGTATTTTTCCCTACACCTTGATCAAAAAATTAAATTCCTATATCTTTAGAGAAGAGCTGATTTGCTTTTAGTAGTACAAAAAAATGGGAGCTTTTCGCAAAAACGAAAACCACGCAACAGTATAATCCATACTTGAACGTTGTTGATTTGATTTGACAAACAGGAAATTCTGCAAGTTTCTGTTGAAAATTCTGATTTCTGCTTGATAGTACACAAAGTATTAAATCAAACGATATCTTTAATTTTCCAAATTTCGAAACATTTTGCTCTGAGTGAGCGACTTCGGTTTTATTTTCCTGCCGTAATTCGCATTGCTTTTGCGAATCCAAGTATGGTGCAATTGAGAGTCAAAGCACTTTTCAAAAAATTCTAGTACTCTTTAACATATTTGCTTTTCATTCGGAGCTCTATATTATTTTCGATCGAGACAGGGTGTAAAAAACATTCTTTTCGGGGACGTTGACAGTCGCTAATATTCATTTACATTTCAAGGCACGTGTTGCACTCGCAATGCAGCGCACGTAACTCATAAATGGACGGATGGATGTATGGTCTAACATCAAGACCAAATTTTCTGGGCTTTGTTGGGTTACCAATTATTAAAGTGATATGCCACACTGCACGCCTGTCCTAAGGTGATTTCTTAGGATTGCACCGCGCATCCTGTACTGAGCATAAAAATTGCGTAATCAGGCGAATAAGCGCGCACATTCCGAGAAGAAGGTAGTGGTTTTCAGTAAATGGACCCGGTAAAGAGGTGTGATTATTTTTAGCTCTTGAACGAGAACGGTCACCTATATTTTATCATATAATTTTGGTGTACAAATTATCTCCTTCAAATTGGAGAACTAAAAAAACTTCATCCAAGGGAAAAGAAGATCTAGGTAAAAGCGTGCACGAAGCCCATTACTCGAGGAACGTTGCCCTCCTACTATGACGCGGAGGGCAACGACTCGAGGAACGTTACGGGTTGATGTTGTTTAAAAATGCGTGATTTTTCCACAGATTTACGTCAAATTGTTCCCTACGCTTGAGAATTCCTACCTATCAAGTTTTTTTCAAGTGTAACTTTGAAAGCCCTTGCTTTTAGCTGCCTCATAATGTACCGTGAACCATGACTAATAATAACTTTTTTTTTTGATGAATCACCTTTAGGGCGCTGCGAGCTCCACCATCATTACTTTTAAATGTAAGACGCACCTGTGTCTATAACGTATTATGTGGATTTTGTCTGACTTTTCGCTATCGCTTTTATGACGAAATTACAAAATAGCAAATGAGGTCTCAGTGATATCACTGATTCATGCTTATTTAGAAAACCGAGAAACGTTCATGGAGAATTTTATCGATCAGGAAGAGGGCTTCAAGAAAGTGGAAAAACCTATTTGGAAGTGAAAGTAGCCTGAGGAGCAAGGCGAACAAAGCCTTTATGAGCACAATGATCACATTGCAAAGGAAAGGAACATTAGGAAGGACAAACCAAATACTATCGGAGTCCTCTCATGTTTCCAATCTCAATTTACTTAATTTGACAATTCTACTCGGTGTTATCATTTTACAATTTTTTATATAATCCAAGCAAAAAAACAAACAAAAAACGTACTCGACAATGTTATAGAAAAATCAAAACAATGTCGAGAAATCGTCACATCCCTCCCCCCTCAAAAAAAATGAATAAATTATTAAATAGCCTGGGTAAGTTTTCGTTCAGTTGCATATCAAGCAACTTTGTGAGAACTTAGTGAGACAGTACACGGATCACTAAATGGACCAGCTCGTTCTTTTTCATCCACTGCTCGAACAGAAAAGAAATACTTGCTGCCAGAAGAGAACTGAGTGAGTGTACAAGCCATTGGAAGTGGAAGAGCTTTCACGATACCTATCTTTTTCCACTTGATTGGTTGGCCTTTGCTTTCGTCGACATCTTGGCATGCAAACAGTTCGTAATTATCTACTTTGACTGATGTGTCATCATGTTCCATATTCCAAGAGAGAACAATTTTTTTCTCCCTCGCAGCAATCGACGCTGACGGCTTAGGAAGAGGTTTTAGTGCATCTCCATGATCGCTTAAAGAACTCCGGGTTAAACTGTTTGCCATACTTGATTTTTCAGCCTCACGGGGATTCTTCTCAATACGTGGATCACTCGAGGATATTCCTGGAGATTGGATGGGAGGCCTATGTAGAGATGGTACGCTACTTCGAAGATTTCCACCTCCGTCTGTTCCTGTAGGTAACTGACCTTGTTCTTGCCCTTGAAGTGGTTTGTATAACTGGTTACGAGACTGTGAAAGGTTTTCATGTTGCTTCTTCTGCGACAGTAGAATATCTGATGGTCGACATAGAAAAGGGTTATAAGCGTCCGTATGAGGCAACTGGCTTGGTACATCAACGCGCTGCCCATTTTGATGGAATGGTCGAGTTGGGATGGCTGTGGTGTGAAAGTTGGAGGACTGCACCGTATATACAGCTTCTGCGTGTCCACTAGAATGCGTCGAAGAGACCATAATTCTCTCATTCAAAGAGTTATTTTCAAGGGAATGAGTCATGGATACTTGTCTACTTTGGGAAGTCAGCGATTGAGCATGGTTTTGCGTTTGTTCATATAGCTTCCGACGCTGAAGAAGATACTCAGGTGATGGAAGCGAGAATCTGTAACCAGAAGGAAGGAGCTCTTCACTTGTATGTTTTTTGCGAGCTGGAACCAAAATAGTTTGTGGCATGCTTGAAACATCCGATTGAATTGGTTTGTGCTTGGCGATTGCTGTAGACAGGGAGGAGGAAACCTCTTGTTCACGCCTGGTTTCAGTTGTGTTCTGCATTTGGGTTGCAACTTGAGGTGGTGGTCGTGATTGCATATTCTGCAATTGAGAGCTTGGATGCTGCGCATGCTTTTGCATACCGACTGATTTTGGTCGAGCATGGAAAATGTCAGTTGATACTAGGCGCTGAGAAAGTGTTGTATTCGTTTGACCTCGTGCTACCGCATTTTCCACTGTCACTTCTGCAGCAGGCTGTGCTGATAATACATGCCGTTCGTGGTGGACGTGATGTTTAATCACCTCCTGTGCTGGAGGCTTCGTGTGCGTTAAGTTTGATCTTTGAAGATTAATTGGAGCTTGTTTTGAAGAAGTAGACTGGGATGGAGGTTCACTTTGAGGGGTTGACATGTACATTGGACTCTTCCCATTTGGAGGCAAAGCTGTTTCGTTGCGTTTCAAGACCTCATCAATCTGTTTTGTGTTGAACATGATTGGCGGATGCGAGGGAACTGACGATGTCTTGGTCTGTGAGTTTACCACGAAATGCATGTGACTTGGGGATGGCCTATGATAAATTGCTGAATTATCTCTTTGCTGTAGCAAGGCAATAGAAGAATTAGCTGACGGCCGCTTTTCCTGCGATTCATCTGAAGGTCTGACCAATTGGGACTGAGATTTTACTTGTTGTTCTGGTGTGGAATGTCGTTGCTTTTGGGAGGAAAAGACTGACAAAGTGGGTGTGACCTGATCAGTTATTTGACTTGATGTTGGTAGAAGTGTTTTATGCGGTTGGCGTTCCACCAGTTTCTGATAGTGTTGTTGCCGTTGCTGAAGTTGTTGCTGACGTTGCAATTGTTGTAAAAGGGAAGCTGTAGTTTCAGATGGATGATGTTGCGTTGATTGAACCAACGGATGTGATGTGCGTTGCTGTTGAATTTGCTGCTGTCGTTCCAGACGTTCCGTTTGCTGGGATAGCTTAAGCTGATTTTCTCGAATCAGTTCCAAAAGAGATTTTGCCTGATTCTGCAGAGCCGGAGGAGGTTGGCTGAATGCTCTGGAGGCTATTGATTCCGAAGATTGTCCTGGTTCTACTTGTAAGAAAGCCGCTGTGGATTCGTTTGCTGAAGGACGGGGCACATGGAGACGGTTGTGAGTGCTAGTACCATTCTGCTTTTCTGCAAGTTGGGCAAGTCTGGGTTTCACAGTGTACACAACAGCGGTAGGTGCCGGCTTCTCTGTCAAGGGTTGCTGCGAATCAAATAACACCCTTGGCGCTGCTTGAAGAGAGGGTTGTGGATCTTCTGCTAATGTGACAACTTTTGATGCAATAGATGTCAGGGGAGCTGCTGTCGTCGACGCGAGAATTGTGCTTACACCATTTACCTTTGCGGCAGTGGTTATGTGAAGTGTTCTTTCGGAGACTTCTTTCTCAGAGGCCTGCAATTTAGGAAATAAAACAATGGCTTCATAAGGTTGTTAAAAATGTTTTTGTTAATTTGAAACACCAATTCTTAGATGGACCGATACTTCCACATGTTTTAATAGTTTTCCCTCAAAATAGTGTCAAAAGAGTGTCCAGTTACATCTCAACATTATTTCACCATCTTCACGTTATGCAAGGTTACTATAGCAACACTACAGCATCAAAGAAAATCACTTAATTTTAGCTTTATGTGCTCGTAAATCAAGTTCAATGATCAGTTCATTCATTTAAAATTGGCACTTTAGTGGTGTGAAGTAAAAGTGCTTTGCTGAAAGGATTTTTAACAAATAAGGTATATCGTTCGATCAGTACTGTCTAATCAAAAGGTTTCTTTACCGATTCACAGATGGTGCTGACTTGGACTCCGCGTGATGTTTTTGGCTCTTTTCTCTGAAATAAAACAAACTTGATTTAGGGAAAGCTAGGCGTTTAATTTATAGTTAGGCAATTTACAAAAAAAAAAAAAAGAAAAACTGATTCATCAGAGAGTCCTCTTCTTTAGATCACCTAGAGCTAAACGGAAGGAGAGGACACTAGGAACAATCTCCTTAGGCTGGCTCCCCCTAAAAAGAGCTTTCCTCAGCATTCGGTCTCATGCTTATCGAAAACTGTGAAGCGCCATTTTGCCTTTTGTGAACATCAGGGGTTCTACTATACTATTGGCTGACGGCTGACGGTGCGAGCCTGGTGTTGACATAATTTTCCGAGGAGAAGTGAGATGTTTAGAAAACTAAAAAAATCGACAAAACACCCCCTCCCCCCCGTAATCGTAATGAATAGAGTTTGTTGAATCGGGCGAATTCCGTTGAATTCGGTCTGAATATATAATGAATTTTGAGGAACAAAAGGGAGTCGGCGCTTTTTTTCATCAGCAATCAAGTTTGGTATCCAATTAACTCGATGGTATGGCGTTTAGTCATTTTCTATTTCCCGGTTTCGTTTGCCTTAAAAGAGGAAAAAAACAAAATAACTTTTAACTTTAACGACTTCTGCACTTAATAACCTTTTCATTTATATATAATTTATGGTGATTTCCTAAAAAACAGCGCGCATACCAAGTTTTGTTACAGAAGACACTCACGAGGGTTTAGAGCAACTTCAAAAGAAAATTGTAGGTATTCGAAGCAAATATCATTTGAACGTAAATCAGGTGAAATAGACTTACTTTTTCATTCTCTATCAATAATTGTCGAAAAGCAGCAAATATTCTCCTTGCAGTCCACTGTAGTTCTCTGTTTTCTCTCTCGAGCTCTCGTATCCGATTTTGAAGTTTCAGTGAATTTTCCGCCACTTTTTCTTCAACAACCTTTGTGCGCTGTTCGATAATTTCTTTCAACACCTAAAGAAAGATTATAATCAACAAAGAAGTATTCTCTATCTACAGGAGAAAGTAAACCCAATATATACCCTTGACGTGAATCCTATCTCAGACCTTATCGCAGTGGCCCAATCTCAGGATTTAACGGATTGTACGAAACCAGACGGCAAAAGGCACCAATATTTTTTCCGTTCCAAATGCGCATACACTTGTCGTAACCTAGCCTTTTAAGAGCACACATTTACCCTCTTAGAAAATTTAATCATCGATTCCTCACCGAGAAGTATTTTCATGAACACAAGCATGTCATATACTGTACCTGTTTGAATATAAGAACATCAGGAGCGGCCTGTTCCACATTATTGGCGGCATCCTTAAATTTATCTTCATTGTCTAAGGCTGCAGTTTCTGTGCCTTTCATAATATTTTGAAGTGGTGGTAAACCTTTGAAAGGAAAAAACTTTTAAGATCGTGACGAAAACTCCACGCAGACGCTACGAGTTACATACGAGTGAAATACGAGTAACATACGAGTGACATACGAGTTACATACGAGTTACATACGAGAGACACACGAGTACATACGGGTACGTACGAGTAAATACATGTGAGTGTTTGTAAAAACAGGTCATTGCAACCTGCACTGACGGTTCGGTTGCATTATGAAGAGAAAAAATGGTAAATTTTAACCCATATGTATTCGTATGTCACTCTTATGTAGCCGCATGTACTTGTATGTATTCGTATTTGTCACTTGCACGTCTTGCTCTTGTTTACAGAGTATAATGTTTATCGAAACTAAGTCCATCCTCTAGGAATCTGATATAAAGATGGTCTGTGGAATACAAAGGCCTAAGATTTATATCTACCGGTATCATTGCACATTGTTAAACCTTTTACAGACTAACATCAGTATGCATATTCTCCTTACTGGTGCCTAAACAGTTCACAAGGTGCTGACGATGAGAATTTGTTTAAAAAACAAGAGCTTCTTCTGTACTTCAATTTTACTCTCAGGCTACTTTAACTCTGCTGATGCAAGCACCATGCAGGAAAGGTATCACGTGCGAGTCTCGTATAAGGCGTGAAAATCAATTTCAGAAGTTTCTCGCGTGGCTCAGGGTTAATCAAGCTCTTTAGCTCTTTTCGGAAGGTAATGCGAGTGAATCCCTATCAGCAACAATTTTTTTCTCGGTTAAAAAAAAAAAAAGGGTTAACTCTCTCTTCAACCCTTACCTCGTTCGCAGTCTCCATCTACATATTTATTACATCCGATTTCTTTAGTTGCACTTTCTTTGTCTTCTTCGTTGTGATTCCCGTTAGTCATTTCCTCTCTGTTGTAGTTTGACCCATCATTCGTTTCCCCTTCAGTAAGAACACCTCCTATTTTCTCAGCGGTAGCCGCTTTCCCACAAAATTTCGTTAGCCGCCGTAATCTCTCCGTGACGTCATAACTGATGTTCAACTTGTCGATCAGGTCTTGAGGTATATTTCTTTTACGTTCTCCATAGGTTACCTGAGAGCTGGGCTCGTGAGGATATTGGCTTTCTGTTGGTCCTAAGACAAAAACACAGCGAGTAAAGACGTTGTGAAAAATTACAGCTTGATCCATTCAAGAATTTTTTTTCTCGTCTTATAATCATTTCTCGAAAAACGCCGTGAGACAACAAAAAAATTAATAAATACTTGAGATTTTAACCTGTAAAATTGGAGCGAGTGTACCCTTCCCCCCCCATCCAAACCCTCCGACCCCCCTTGGAGTGACTAGCATCTAACTTCTCCTAACAACATCACCCCAGAATCATATATCAAGTTCAAGAGAAGAAAGGAAATGATCACCTACAGAAGAAGCTCTTGTTTTTTAAACAAATTCTCCTTGTCAGCACCTTGTGAATTATTTAGGCACCAGTTAGGAGAATATGCATACTGATGTTAGTCTGTAAAAGGTTTAACAAATTGTTTTCCAAACAATCAAGAGCTCCTTAAGCTCGCCATCATTTCCTTTATCCTGGTGACTTCAATATAATTATGATTCAGGGTGGGGCGGCGAGAGATATTGTAAAGAGACATCAGGTGCATTAGGGTTGAAAGATTAGACAAACTTCGTAAGGTTACCTACCGGGTAAGTCGTGGACTTCATCGAGCTTTCTATAAAGAAAAAAATTAAAAGGTTGCATTATTCTAAGACTATCGTGTCCATGAAGCTTGAGCCAACAGCAGTCAGTTTGTCATTTGCTAGTATTGTCATCGGTCGCTAATAGCTGCTGTAATCATGATTATTTGACCGCGATTGACCAGTTAGGTAGGAGAATCCCAAACCTATGACGTAGGAGACCAAGGGGTATAGGCCAGCAGGTCAAGGGGTCGAAGGCTTGTTGCAAAATTCTAATTGAAACGGATTGCATAGACTCTGAGAAACCTACTTGAGAACTAATGCAGATTTTATGAAGTTGACAACAACAAATAAATTTCACATAAATTAGCATATCGAGTTGTAAAAAGTAAGGAATATTTTAAGAGCCTAATGTAAATAGTAATGACACTGTGGTGTCAACTATAGCGTCAAAAAAGGCAAGAAATATCAAAGCAGTCGAATCATTGGAGATATAAGAAAAATTAGAGTTAAGTAACATCATTTTAAAATATACTTCGGCTTTTACCTCCGTTTGTTTGGTCTTGCGTAACTTTCCATCCTCGTTTCCTGCTTCTATGAGCAAATTAAACATAAATTTTTAACCTTAAATTAAAATCATCAGATCACTTCTCTTGCTATGCATCTTCAAATTTTCCTTTGAGTAGTGTTAGGGAAGACCTTGCTACGAATGAAGACATTTTGATAGACATAGTGGAGACATTTTGCTTCTGAAATTGGTGCCACAGCATCCCAAATAAGGAACTCCATCAGACAATTCCATTCAATTTTTAATGAGGTAATTGTGCCTCCACACCTGCCGCAAGACAAACCGGTTTCGCGACAAACAAGTATTGTATTATTTTCCCTAACGTCAGTTGTCTTTGAAGGATTCTTTTTGTGTTAGCTAAAAGCTATTCTTTGAAAAGAGGTTTATAGTTTTTGTTACTTTTTTATTTTCTCAGAGGCGGTCTTTCAGAGGCGGTCTCTCAGAGGCGGTCTTTAGAATAATTTATATGTTAACAAAAAAGTTTCTGATGTGTTGCAGCCAGTGACTGTAAAAGTCTCTCTCTCGAGGGCATGTGTTTTAGACGTTGCGTGGCATGACTACAAAGAAAAAATTTAAAGTAAATCACGAATGACATGACGAGTGACGAATGTCTGTTCTTATACAAAGTGCAAAAAAAGTAATATGTATGGCAGAAAGAAAAGTCTGAAAAGTAATTAAATCTTCTAAGAGGCTTAAACTCCAGTCTTCTCGGCAGCAACCGGCCGAGCGCTCTACCGAATGCTCTTAAAAAGATACAAGGAATGCAATGAAAGAAATGTCGATGTTTTTGTCGACGGCTTTAGTCTTCTATGTATCAGATTAAGTAGAATGACTACAAGTGACACAATTTACAAATGGAATGAAAAAGAAATCTATTTTCTTTGACATCAAAGGAGATATGGAAAGGACTAGGGATTGAAATGCAATTCATAATATCCTACTTGCACGGTAATTGACAGTGATTTTGATACCGGCGCTCAACTCGTGATTGTACGCTCAAATCTCGCTCATTAGATCGTGTCTCTCATTTTCGCGTCTAGGGGAGGGTAGGGGGTTAGTCAATATACCATGATAGTAAGCGCTCAGGCATGACTTTTACGGCGATAATCTTTAACGTAATCCATAAATTACCTTAAAAAGACAATAGAAAATATATTTTACAACATTTTCACTAAAGCAAACCAACAGGTAAAGGCAGACGAAGGGAAGTACACTTGTTCCCTTTCGCATTGTACTGAAAACGTCATGCTTTCATATGGTAAACAAGCAACATATTCAAACGAAGGCTGTAATTGAACCACGACATAGACATGGAAGTAGGCGGCGGAGCAGTGACGTATCCAATATATTTTCTTCTCACTGTCAACTGATGGAAGCAGATGTTTCGCTCTGTTTCCGTCGTCTTCCTTTGCGGTAACACTATACATTCTTGTCACAGGATGTGGTCATGACCCATTAGAGTTGTGTTTAGCAGCAGTCAATATTTTAAGCCATGACTCGCTCGTGATTTTTCGGTTTTTCCTTTATGTATTTTTATGAGGTCATAAATAAAACCACGCGCTTTTGGCTAGTATTTAACTTCGAGAAAAATTACAACGAAATTGAAAGAAATAAACGACAGTTAATAAAACACGTCACGGTTCGTGTGTAATAAAAAATTTACCTTTACACTTTTCAAGTTCGTCATTTTCGTTCTGTCTTTTCCCTCTCCACCTCCAACAACTTGTTCCCAAGTCTGTGTGTTATTACGCCGTGACTCATAAAGCTTATTATTTAAAATTTAAGCTGAAGTGCCACTGTGCATCGCAAAAATAACACATTATATACAGCGACGCAGCTCTTTAATTAGGCCGCCAGAATCGCATACTTAACATTAAAGAAATGTTTCAAGTTCGGCGAGTCATATAATCACGGACGAGTTAACAATAGCAGAGTCGCGTGACAGTGGTAGAATCATGCGAGATGTGCCTGACTCTTCACATCATAACAAAATTTGCTGCAAATCATAAAAGCCATCGTGACTACTGATAAAAAACGGACTGGTTTGGAATTTTTTAGTCAATTTTTCTCCGCGGCTGGGGCTCAAATTTGCGATTTACATAAATATTTATCGTTTTATACTTTTATCATGATTTGGTCAAATTCTGTAACACCACTAAGAGGTTTACACGATTTAAGATAAGCACTAGTCATAAATGCTGCAAAATCAGAAAGGAATGTATGACTCTTTAAGAACATGAACTGGGCACTTGAATTTCCCGGAGCGGTGTCGATGCAGGCTCAAGGTTCCTTTTAAAACGTTCATGTGACTTCTATAGAAGAATGAATCTTAAAAAAGAAACCAGATAGAGATCCGTGTGGAGCAAATGTCGACTCCATGAATTCTGCCTCCAATCACAGAGAGAAAAAAAATCACCAAAAAAGTAATGAAAAACCAAGAAGGAAAAAATTATAAGAGATGAATACTAATTAAAGATTACGACATTAAATACTTAAAGCTAATTCTTCGGATCTCCTACACAAGAGTATGGACTGGAATGTATCTTTAGATTACAAGATATTGTTGAAATGGCAAGACGAAAGCAAGACGAAAGCAAGACGAAAGAAAATACGGAAAGACACTGCTAGTGAGTCACAGGATTTGGAAAAAGCTCATTTAAGTGATTATTTAGAATGAAGAAGATTTTTACATATTTTTCGAAATTTGTGTAAATTTCGCCTGAGTATCGAGGACTACCCGCAGCGCGCCTTTCTTTCCATTTCTTGGCCATTGCAGAATTAGCATAATGTATTTCTATCGTTTTTTGTCAGAGGGAATGTAAATTGAGGTGATACTTCTTACAATGTCTAGGTGGACAATCGCTAGGGCTTAAAACTTTGAGAAATCTACCTATTAAACATTGGTAAATGCCTTTGTCGTTATTTCTAGTTTTCTTTCACGTTTCAAACGATCTGTAAGCCCACTTGGGAATTCGTGTTCACATTTTCTTTTATTCTATAAAAAAATAAATAAATAAATAACTGAATGAAGTACAGTGTGACTTACTGTCGAAACAAGTTCTTGGAACTTGCAAAACCAGTTTTAAATTCCACAAACAAACGAGAGGTTTCCATAGAGACAGAGAGAAGCGATACTCTACGAATTAATATTTCGTTTTACCCTTTTGGTCGGCGAAAGGGGAAAGTATCTCATTTGTTGTTTTCGTAGGGATGGCATGATTTTCCCGAACAGTTAAGATTCAGTCGCGATTCAACTCAGTGTACCGTTGGTTTTTAAATGGTCTTCGAAAGAAACAAATGGCCAAAACATTTTTATTATCAATTACTGCATCTCCTTCGTGTGTTTCAAAATATTGTGAAAGCACTTGACTCGAATTATGCATTTTAAACAGATTTAAAGTACGTATCCCCTTGGATCTTCGTAAGAATGATCTCTATCTAATGATAAGCACGCCTTGAACGGAAACTCTCGTGTCGACTGAAGGTTGTCTTTATCCAAATGTATCAATGCAATGGACTAACTACCTCTGTAAATGTAAAACGATAAATATTAAAATATTGATGGAATTCATTGAAAATAGTTGTGATTCCATATGGTTTCCGGGATTCGGCAAAGTAGACCAAATTAAGCCCTATGCAGGGGATCAAAGGTGTCTTCAACTGTATTAGTACAACCGGAAATTCAATGAAATATGGCAAATCAAACTGAAAGCACCTTACAACTGTGCGTCCAGTCCAAACCACCGGATAAACCTCTCTCCGTATCATTTATCTCAGGTTACTATGGTGTGTTCGCATATTTCAAAAATTGAATTAACAAACTTGAAATAATTGTATTCATTCCGGTTGGCATGCCAAACAGAAAACGACACATTCAAGCTTTATATTTCTTTGATGTGTTCGGGAAAAAGAGTAAACAAATAGACCCTCGAAAAGCTGCCGAAAAACCGCAAGGATTTTCCATTTTGTGGTTATCGTCATTGTTTCTCTTTGTGAAAGAAGAATCAATCGATGGATTTCACGCAGGTTTCTGGCCTCATAGCTTAGTTGATAGAAGCGCTAACACCGGTATCCGGATGGCACGAGTTCATGCCCCGTCGATACCAGAAATATATTTTCAAGCTTTTTGAAATTGCTATGTTTTCGGTGCACTTGTGAGAACAAGTTCGTCATTTTTCTAACAACATGCACAGGTCATATTCGATTTATTTCAAAAATAATTTGTGTCCGTACATCATCATTAGGTTCGAAGACTAATATTTCAGTCGTGTTGTTAATCCCATAACGAAGTCCAAAACGCGGGCCTAAGCATGTTTGCGCTAGTCATACTACGGTTATGCACCCTTTGACACTAAACATCTCTGTACCTGGTACCAGACTACAGTATAGCACCACTTCAGTAATATTACTAAGCCACAGGCAGTTTAGAGTTGAATCAAATTACACACGCTACCGACAGTGGAGTTAATGTAGCGTGAAATCAAAGGGGGTCGAGTGCTTCATTTTTTATACGTATTTATCTATGGCGTAATTTCCTATGCTGCTAGTTCATGAAATTTCCTTTCCAAAACAAAGGCTTAAACCAACGCATTTTGTGAAGTATTGCTCTGATATTTTTAATTTTTTGTGTGAACCAAACATGTTCTTGGTTGTTACTGCTAGGCTAGAGACTTAAAATATTTTGTCTCCAGTCAAATTTCTTCTCGAAAATTCCATTTTATTACCGGTGGACATGCGATCGATATCGTGTCGCAATCACTCAGTCCTCAAGGGATCGAAAAATTCACGAGGCGAAACAAATTAATTTTGTTTTTCTCATCATAATTACAGATTCATGGCTTTAATTCTTTCTTCCAAAAAAATATCAATTCAATTGGACACCCTGACGCGAACAATTACGGACAACAAGAAAAAAACGACGTCATAGAACACTCTGGCACACCCGGGCTGACAGATGTCAACAGTGACTCGTTTACGAGGAAACAATTTCCGCTACACCAATGGATCAGGCCGTAAATGTCAGCGCCATATTGAGCACAGGACTGTCAAAAGTATTAGCACTTGGGTTTGTTTTGTAATACCATATCAACGAAAGGCAATATCACCCGAGAGAAAGCGTTATGGACCATCTTAAAGCCCGGCGTTGGGTTATAATCGCGCATATTTCGTTCGATAATACAGTAAACTCGGGTTAACTGAGGCCACTTTCATTAAAGTGTCACAACTCAAGCGTGTCTCTTATTTTGTTGTTAGTTACGGTTGTGCCTGGGAAGATGGTTACCATATTCCAAAGTAGAGAATGAAATGCTAAATATTCCTAATATGTACTTGCCGAGGGGTGAATAATATTTGGCGAGAAAACAAAAGCAAGTCTTCGAGATTTTTAAAATTCATTACGGTTGCCACCGGCTAGCATCTGTCAAGGCAATGAAACAAATGAAAGATCTACGAAACAAGTCGCCGCTAGCTAGATATTTCATCGATAACAACTACGACTGACAATTTGATTCTGTATTTCGCTTCGCATTATCGGGGTCTACTTCTTTTGATTGTTTTGCGTTTTCTCTTGTTCTAACGTGAATAGAATCGAAACAAAGAAGACAAACTACATGGCAAAATCGTCCCCAACTACTGCCTCAAACGTTTGGCCTCATGATCACAGTTACGGGCAAGTTTTTCTCTCGAGAATGTTGAGTGCTCAACAGCACTAAAATTTTACTAGAGTCAACGATGACTGACCAGTCATGGCTGTGATTAATAAAGCCATCATTTGAATTGCAAAATCACTAAGCCATTGCTTTTATGATATTTACCTTCTCACGTTGACAAAAATTTCAAGTCTTTTTGCGCTTCAGAAAACACGTAGAATTCATTCGAACTTCCCAAGTACATGTGTCCTGGCAATGCAACCTGCAAAGTAAACCTTCTTGGACCTACTTTCACGTGAGAGCAGAGTATAAACCCAAAGTCCTTTTCAAAGACCACGCGCGCGTGTGAAACAATACCATTCGCAACATTCCTTTCACGCCTACGTAATCAAGTCAAACAAGATTCTAGTTTTAATTAAACCAGTTGATCTAGTTTCTGAAATAGTGCGTGACCGCCCTATGATTAACAATATCGGTTTTGCTAAAGGCCTAATACCGTTGGCGCCACGCCACTCTTCATATACTTGACAAAACATATCTCTTAAATCTTGTCCATAATTTGTCGACGTGAGTTATTGCAATATACGCGAAGTTCTGCCAATATTATGGGTTTTCGTTTATCGAAGGGCGACTATAAGTCCTTGAAAAGTGCCTTTAAAACGCACGCTTTACGGCAACAAGAAATTTAGAAAATTGAGAATTTCAAATTTTCCCCGAGTTTTCCGCTCAGTGACAAATGAAACATGCCAAGCGAGGCTCTAAATAAATTAAATGGCCAAAAACACCTGCTTCGGTGCAACATAATCAGGGAAACTGTTGCAAAATTTTCAAACCACAAAAGAGTAAAGGGAAATTCCTCTTGCGCAATATCTCAACGGGTTGAAATGAAATTTCGCTTTCGGACAGAAATGGTGTCATTTTCTTTATGAAATACTGTATTCCGCCATGCCTTTTCTGAATATGAAACAAAAATGATAAAAACTTCATTAGTTGAAGCTTATTGTCTTAGACCTCGTGGAATATTTAAACTTTTTGACACCTTTGTTATTATACTTTGATATTCGTCCATTCGAAAGCCAAAGACATATGCGTAACCAAGATAATGAGAATTATAAAGCCAACCTGTAGCATACTGCACCCTCATTTATTTAATCATATATAACAAAACGTAAAAGTTTTAAGTTTGTTTGCCATGTATGTGATGAAAATGTTTTCA